GTTCACACAGAGGGACCCCCCCCCCGCGATGGCCCTTTTGCGGGGTGGGGGTCAGTGGGGAGGGGATTAAGAGGTGGGGAATAGAGGGAATCCTTTGAATAGGAACCTCTGACCGCTTCGGCCGGGGCCGAGGCGAATTTCGGTCGAACCCTGACCCCTAAACCCTGAGGATGGCGGTTTCGAGGAATTCATGGCGAGCGTGGACGCCCTAGCCATGGGTCGCAAGACCTTCGAAACCGTGCGGGACAGAAGGGCTTTAGGGTTTTTGGCTTTTAGGGATTTAGGGGTTTCAGGGTTCAGGGTTGTAGGGTTTTGGGGTTGGGGGTTTTAGGGTTTTGCGTTTGTCGGTTTTAGGGCTTTTCGGGTTTTAGGGTTTATAGGGTTGAGTGTTTTAGGGTAAAGTTTTAGCCCCTCCGCACTGAGCAACGCGCTGAGCAAAACAAGATCTGCGCAGTTGGGTTTTTTTGTTTTGGACTTCAGGCGTTTAGTGACAGTGTTTGAGGCAAGTTCGGGATTGTGGGATGAGCCGGCAGGAGGGGAGGAATACAGGTAGGTTCTTAACCCACGTTGGTTTTGCATGCGCCAGCCAGACAAGTCAGAAACTCCCGTCGCCCACCCAAATCCTAAATCGCAAGCCTTCAACCCAAAGGCCCTAAGCCCCAAACCCAATGCAAGCTGCAAGCATACTCCTGACAGACCAGGACATGGGAGATGGACCCTGGCCCTACGGCGACACGCCGGTCTCCTGGCGGACATTGCTGCGTTTGCAGCCTTCGCCTCGGGGATTCCGGGTTCAAGATGTAAGGCTTTCGTGAGAGCCCAGTTGTAAAGAGGGCTTACACTTCCATGTTGCAGGATTTGGGGATGCAAGAGGGTTTACAAGAACTTGTCATATAGAAGTCGAAGCCTGCCTAATTGGCAATACTATTCCCTAGGGCTCCTCATCACTTGTTACGGTTAAGCTTACAACTTTTACTATAACATATACCCTACAAAGACTGGTTTTAGAACTAGGAAGACCGCTATATCAATCCTTTGAGAACGACAGCCAAGAGGTTCTTGAGACAGCAATGAGAGCCTCATTCACTCGTGGGTTTTGTGCCTTCGGGGCTTTGGTTTGGTTGCGACTTGGGCTGCTCGGCTCTCAAGATGGATCTATTTCGCGGATTAAAACCTTTCAATTTGGAGGGTCTGGGGGATCAGGGTGGCTGCTTTCGGTTTGGGAGACATGTCTTGTTTTCTCCGCAAAGCCTGAAACTATACGATGCTTTCAGAAACCCCACACTGCTAAAACCAAGGTTTGGGTGCTTAGCAATGGCAAGGTGGATGTCCCCGAGCGCCTGGCATCCAAGGCATGCCGCTCAAGGAATACTGCCTTGCGTGTGGTGTTCTTATGGTACCCAGAGAGCCCAATACCCCTTAATTAAGGAATATACCTTAAATCATAATATTAAGACCCCCATAATTTAAGGTATATTCCTTAATTAAGGACTGTTAGGCTCTCTGCGTAAGGGTTAAGGATCTTACTATCGCGGGTCTCTTCCACGGTCCGCCGTCTTCTGGAGCCCCATGTGGTCGAAGTATATCCCTTGGCTAAGTCAGCTTGGCGCTGTCTGGTCTGGATTTGCCGGCACGCATATCGGTGTTTATGCAATGGGCAGCTTTCGTGGCAGGGCTCAGATTGGGGACCCTCCAAAGCATCCCCCACACATTCAACAAGCTTGAGCTGGGCTGGTAGGGTCAAGAGCATAAACCCTAACCCTAAACTCGACGATTCCGACTGCAGCAGGAGGAAAAGAGCCTTCAAAGCCAGAAAACACAAACATGCAGAAGGCAAAAGCCCTAAACCCACATAGGTCCTAAACCTTAGCAAGAGGCTCTTAGAGTCGGATTTCAGCAGATCGGGTATTGTAACCCTGACCCCTGAACACTAGAGCCCCTAAACCTAGGCTCTACTCACTAAGCCGTAAACCCTAAACCACTGCACGCAAACTCTTAAACCTAGGCCCAAATAAAACCGTTGTACACCCTAAACCCCCTGAGCACGAACCCCCTAGACCTAGGACCCTTAAAACTGGCTGAATCCCCCCTTGCTGATTTTCATGCTGCAGGTGCACCTGACGAAAGGCACGCCCGAGGAGATTCTAAAAGCCAGGCCCTTACCTGGAACCTTCTGTAAATAATCTAGGAGTACGATGTGCGATGTTGTTCCTATATAATACCTAGTAACCAGTCCAAATCCGATTCTAAGTATTAAGGTCCTATGCTGAATAATTCGTTGGGTTAGGGAATCTGTTTTCATTACCAAGCGCCCTTCGTGTTGTCGTGTACCCCAGCAATCCACAGCCAGCTTGCAGTCAAGCTGCAGGTCCGAATGCCGCCAAGAGCTCAAAAAACGCCCGCAACAGCCAACTTTTCAATGTATGCCATGGCTGCGGGGCGACTGGTCTTCGCCTCTTTAGTGGCACGCGCTGCCGCCGATGCGAGTCCGACCGGGAGTCCCACCTGCCCCTGCGTAGAGTGGGCCGGGCTCCAGCAGTATATCCAGGGCGGCACATTGATGTACACACCACCGGGATCTAGCACGTCCTACGAGTACCCGAGCACCTCAGGGGCTGAGAGTTAGTAACCTTTAACCTTTTGGGGCTTATATATCCTGCTATACTTTTAAAAGGCTAGCGTTTTTTTGGCTAGGGTACTCACCCTAAACCCTAAACCTTTTTTCTTAGCCCCCGAAGTGGGAGGGAAACCGTTTTTCTAAGGCAACTACGGAAACCTGGAGTGCAAGGCGCATGACACCGGCCTGGCGCCCCACTGCGCGGGCACAAACCCGCCGGCCTGGTGCAACAAGCCCCTTAGATAGCCAATGGGAGAACTTTAAACCTTTTTGGCCTTATAAATTATGTCTATCCTAAAAAATGTTTGAACTTTTTTGAGCCTGGGTTGTTGAAGAAGAGAGGCCCTGGTGCTACGTCTCCAAGGGCAACTGCAACTTCCAGGCTTACAAGAGTGACTAGGTGCGTTTCTTTATATCCGTATACTCCCTGTATGTATATATATATATATATGTACACATACACACACATATATATATATGCATATATATATATATTATACAGACTATAGGTATGGTACTACTGTTTATAGTTGAGTATAGACTTACCTCCATGCATGCATACATGCATACGCACAGACATTCCTACGTACGTGTGCTAGATAGATAGATAGATCGATAGATAGATCGATAGGTAGGAGATAGATAGAACGATAGGTAGGTAGATAGATAGACAGACTGACAGATAGACAGAGAGACAGATAGACAAAAATACACATACGTACATATGTATATACACAACCCAGGCGTGAAGTTTCCGGGAGCGGACGCATACTACAGCTACCGGACCTGCGGACAGTCGAACGAGTTTGCCCTTTGGAGTCAGAGCCTGGCAGAAGGCACAACATCGGCCCCGCAGGTCCCCCGGGGGTTTCTGGGCTTTGGGGCTTTAGGGTTTTAGGGTTCGGGGTTTGGACCCTCAGGTCTCGGGGTTTAGGGCGTAGGACCCTCAGGTCTTTAGGGTTTTGGGTTTAGGTTTTAGGGTTCCGGGTTTTAGGGTTTAGCAAGGGCCCTCAGGTCACCCAACTCCTGGATGTGGTAACGGAGTACCTCTGGAGCACCCGCGACTCCCTGGAGCAGAAGTACATCGACATGCTGGCTGGCAACGTGAGCGCCTGCAACTACGTGGACTTCTGCCCGTGCCTCGAATGCTATAGCGACCCCGTCTGGCCGTCCTACGATGGGATAGACCCCAGCACAGTGGGAGCTTGGCTGCGGCCGGGCAGCGTGAGCCTAAAGGAGCATATCAATCAAACCCCCAGCCCTATTTTTAGGGTTTTGGGTTTTGGGTTTAGGGTAAACCTCCAATACCCAACCAAACCCTGAGCCCTAAAAGCCTCCAAACCTACACCCCAAATGCTAAACCCCCAAAAAGGAGCAAAACCTCCTGTCCTGCTTGGTCGGCCTGGTTGCAGATGTGTACAGCAGCATTGCGGCGAAGGAGGGGGAGCCGGACAAGAGAGTCGGTTACTTGGCTCATGTTAACCCTTACCCTCAAAGGACTCATCTTTTGAGGCTTTGGGCAAAAAGACCCTATTATATAAGGCTTTTGGGCCATTTTGATGCTAAGGGTAAGAGAATCAGGGTTTAGGGTTTTGGGGGTTTAGGGTTTAGGGTTCATGTTGAGAAACTGTTGATCAAGTTGCCGCAGTTGGGATAGACATACACATATACATACCAGACCAGGCTAGGCAGCTTTTCACGCATAGTCTAGAATGCACACATAGTCATATACGTACGTTGAAATATATCTATACACATACTTACTTACCTACGTACCAATAATGTGGATTCATAGTTATTTGCCTGTGTATTTGTTTGAGTGGATGCAGCCATGGATGTCTGTATTTATATATGTAGCTGGTTGGCTTTTCTTTTTATGCCAGCTTGAACTACGCTTCTTAGCCAGAGCTCAGGCTACATGTACTTTGCTGATCAACTCTCCGGAAGCTACATGGGTTGGCCTACACTCCAATGGTGCCCCACGAACTACGACCCACGCTTCCGTCCATGGTATGCCTCTGGCTCAACAGGGCCCAAGGACGTGATCATCGTCGTGGACGTGTCAGGCAGCATGGGTGCTGAAAACCTAGAATCCTTATAATCCCTATAATCCCTATAATCCCTAATCCCTATAAACCTTATAGTCCCTATAATCCCTATAATCCCTATAAGCCCTATAATCCCTATAATCCCTATAATCCCCATAATCCCCATAAACGCTATAAACCCTATAACCCCTATAATCCCTATCAACCTTATAATCCCTATAATCCCTATAACCCCTATAATCCCTATAATCCCTAAACCCCAGGCAGCATGGGTGCTGAAAATCGCTACAACCTCGCTAAGCAGGCCACCAGAGCCTCGGCGCTCAAAGCCCCACCGCTTTACTTTTGGATTCTTATGAGTTCGTCTCATTTATATATATATACATATATATGTATATATTTATTTATAATAAATATATATATATACATACATACATACATACATACATACATACATACATACATACAGGTATAAACATGCATCTCAACAGTAATTTGCGAAGTGAGGAGCCGTCCTCGACACCCTTGACTGGAAGGACTACGCGACCGTGATTCTCTTTAACCATGGCATTGCCGCGCAATACTCGTCAAACATGGTAGCTGTGAGCGACACGCAGCGTGGGAACATGCAGAGATGGTTGGAGTCGCAGAACTGGCAGCAGGGCAGTACCAATTTCAAGGTCGCTCTAAATGAAGCTTTCTCCACCATCCAGAGAAGTGTCGCAGCAGGCACCACATCCATGTGTCAGAAGGCGATTATTTTCTTGACGGACGGGGAGGCGGAGTTTCTGGACAGTGACTTCAGAAACATCCAAGAGCAGTCGGTGACGTACGATACGGTGCTTTTCACCTATGCCTTGGGTTCGGGTGCCGACACTACAGTGACGAAGAGGCTGGCGTGTGAGAATCGGGGGATCTTCTACAATGTCCCTGATGGATCCGACCTTAGCTCGATTATGTCACTGGGCTCTCGTTTCGGAACTCATTCTCCGTTACCGCCATAGGGTTGCACGGCTATGTGGTTTGCTGTGGTACTCGTAGAAGATGTGTTTTCTTTATACACGAGCCGAGGTCAAGCTACTACGAGTACTTCGCCACAGGCCAGGAGATCTGTCAGCCCTCCTTCACGAGCTACGCAGACGTTGCCGGAGGGGGGAGGTTCCCTCGGGACGAAATGAACAGGTAAAAGGGTTTAAGGTTCAACTACCACAGAATATAGGGATGCGAAGTAGAAGGGTGCAGGGCCCCTATTTTCAAGGTCCTTTGGTCCAGGCCCTACACCCTAAACCCTAAACCCTTAAACCCCTAAACCCTGAGGCTATGGCCTGCTTGTCTTCCGATGTACGACCGCTCGCGTACGGATCCTTCGCTGTTGGGAGCCTGGGCTCTTCTTTTGGGGGAGCCTTAATGATTAGAATAGGATCTGGGGGTATATCATACTATATTTATAACAAGGAACAGGTTCTAAAAAAAAACCGAGGAACTTTAATGATCAGAATAGGATTTGGGGGTATATCAGTATATCATACTATAATTAGAATAAGGAGCCCCAAAATCCCTATTCTAAGTATTAAGGCCCCTACATTACCCGTGGAGCAAGAAACAAGTTACCTTTGAATCCTGCGGCAGTTAAAATGGACACCGCAACACGGAACCTTAGAAGGGAAAATGTTTTCGGCTACAGGTAGCGCATGAGGTAGGGTTTAGGAAGTTTAGGGTTCATGCTTAAAGAAGGAGAGCGGCGTCTTCTCCTATAAATTACTACCAAAATACCTCTTTTATGGTTACTTGCTCTTGTTAGGGCAGTAGTCGAGTCCCTTGTGAAAAATGTCCTTTACTCCAAGTTCCTTACCCAGGAATCCCTGAACCCTAAACTCAGGAGTCACATGCATGGACTTCAACATGATGGAGGATCCGGCAAACATGCAGTCGGAGTCGTACTGGGACTACTTCAGCTGCAAAATCTCTGACATCACGAAGGCTTTCGTGCCATTATGAATTATGTGGGTTTAGGGTTTAGTGTTTAATATGGTTCTATTTTGGCCCCTTAAGAAGGTTTGCCAAGCGCTTGACACGAGCGAATGCCGTCTGCAGCGCCTTCGAGCCGCGGTCGGCCAAGACTCGGTTTGCTCCACGACCGCTTCCGTCCCAGCCTCTTGCCCCTGCATGGACCCAGATTGCCAAGATGATGAGTCCTTCATTGACGAGAAGGGCTACTTCTGCGACACCTGGGTCGGCGATGATTGTAGCAAGGCTCAGGAGACTTGGGGCTACAGCGCAGCAGGTCAGCAAGCAGCACTGACGAGGTGCCGGCGATCCTGTGGCAGATGTCAGATGATCTCCCCCTGCCCCAGCACAGCGCGTTGTGCGGGAACGGAGCGATTCGCAGATGTGAGTTGCAGAGCTTGTCGGACGGACAAGGTATCGGGCATCGACATCGAAGGGAGATCGATGGTCTGTCCAGGCACCCCTCGAACTGACGACACGGCCTCTCCTTCAGCTTCCTCTCGTCAGATTCAGCTAGGGGCTTTCGCCGTGGCGGCCGCCACAGCCCTCTTGGGATAGTCTTGCCCGCGCATCTCCGCTCCCAGTCCCAATGTCTGTTCCGGATGATTTAGCGTCCTGAGCTTCCGGACTGGAGTTCGGACCACTAAGACCATAGGATTGGCGGGCAGCTGGTGTCAACAACACCTTGCCCACTTCGATCGCTACGCCCAATGTGCGGTAGAGACATGTGCAGCTTACCAGCACGTTTCCAAGCCGTCGACATGCCTGACAACTTAAGAAGCACTACTAAGCACTCATAAGGCTATGTTTCAGAAGGCTATAAACTCCAACATTCGCAGGTAGTCCAGCTTTGTAGCTAAATTCACATGCGCGAATGCGAGGTCCATATGACCTCGAGGCATTCATACAAATCTTTGAAGGCAATCTGATGTCGATCTGGGGTGCGCAGACTGAACTTTGAGGAGAGCAGCGAGGTGTGCAGAAATGATAAGATATGCCCGCCCTAAACCCTAAACCCTAAACAAAAAGCCCTAAACCCTAAATCTTTATGGTCCCTATGTTGATGAGCTAGACTATACCCTCAAGCCTCAGTCCGATACTTCGACGCCTTTCTTACCAGCTTCGTTGTCTTGGCTTGATAGCTCGGTGGATCATCTACGACATCAGACATATGCAACCATGGCAGACTTGAACTCATGAAGCACCGGAAGGAGGTCGAAGATCTCGTGCCGAAGACATCGTGACTTCAGACGATGCATGACATGGACTGGGAAACATACTGACTAGCTGCATGTAGGCAATCTATCACACGAAGACCTGCAATGGATTGTTGTCATGTGGTATTTTTGTTTTTTTTTCGGCTTTCCGGTGGGGGTGGGCAAGCCTGGATTGGCAGACCACAGGCTTGAGCATGAGTTCTGATATGACCTGGTTGTGACTCAAGCCTGTTCCACATGACACGTGCGGAAGCAAGCTGGTCCTCGCGTAGCGATGGCCGGAGACATTGCTCAGACCGAAAAGAGCTGTCTTGTTGGTGCAGCCGTTGCCGACAACTACGACTGCGAATGCTGCTGCTGTTGCTGCTGCTACAATTATTATTTTTACTAGTAGTGCTAGTACTAGTAGTGCTAGTACTAGTAGTA